ATGCACCCCAATATCTTCTTTGTATAGGAGAAAGAACGTCAAAAATTCAAATTTATCCTCCAAAAAGGAAAAAAAAAAGAACATACTTATCTTTGAAGAAAAGTAAGAAGAAAAAAATTCCCATGCAGCCCAATATCTCGTTCGTATGGGAGAAAAAGAAGGTCGAAACCGGAAGATCCATCGTCGCTTCCGGCGCAACAAAGATCGTCCGATGGGGGTGGAAGGCGACCGGGGGTGCGCGGGGGATCGATGGGCGAGGTAAGGCAGCGTGCAAAGGAGGAGACCGCCTTCTCGTTCTTCCACTGATTTTCTCCTTTTTCTCGCCTCTCGTCCCTCCGCCAACCCTCGTTCTCCCACGCTACACCTGTCGTGCGCGGCTTCGAGAGGCGGTAGTAAAGTTCTAGCCGGTGTAAGAATACGCGTACTCGAGGCTCGTGGCCTCGAAGCCACGGCAAATCCATTTATCTCGGGCCTTCGCGGCCCGAGTCTTTTGTTTTTACGAGCCAGGCTGGATTTTGTAGCTCTCTCTTTCTCTCTGCATTTCATAGGTTAGGTTAGCACTCATGTCCCATGAAGGGGAAAGCGGCATCGAATTGGTATTTTTTTTTTTAAATGGTTCGTAGTAAAATCTGAATATTCAACTATTCGAAGTTGAAATCTGAATTATGCCGGTATTCGAGTATTCCTATTATTTGAATTATTCGAATAGTTCGACTGTTCGAAGTGTTGCAGCTCTAGTTCGTACGATAAAAAAGGTTGTTTTATTGTGAATTAGATTAAAGTTACTCCTTGTACCTAAAGATTAATTAATATATTTATAGGTGTACACAGCGCTACAAAGTTAGCGCACATAACCTCAAAGTTTAATTTTGTACCATCGCGTAATTTATTTTTTAATTTATTTATTTAATAATAATCTCACTTAAAACTGCAAGAGGAAAAGGAAAGAAGGGATGTTCAAAGGAAATAGTATAGAGGTCAACTGTACGAGAGTGCCCTGCGAGCACTCGTTCTAAAAATCCCAGGCTCTTGAAGTGTGCGTTATCTAAAACACATATTCCAAAAATAGCTCGAAATCTAGATGTATAAATAACGAATAGAATTAAATGTAGAAAAAAATTTTGTTTCCACTGAAATCCACAATAATTGATAAAAAAACAAATTTTAAATACTATACGAAACATTGTAACCTGTACCCTCGTATATATATAGTTGCATACATACATGTCAATGCTCCAAAGAGGTTAAGTATTACGTTGAGTAACCTAATTCTATTCAACAGTTCACTATCTCTTGTACAAACACCCATATTTTACTCTAACACATAAATATTCCCCTGAAGCGTGTAACATAACCTCAAAAGAAGCAGAAAAAAAAAAGAAAAATGCACAGCACGCACCTAATCGACATCCCCTCCCCAACCACTACCACACACTCTTCTAATCGTGACTCATCTGCACGACTCGGTTTCGCGTGTACCCGTTATTAACCGTCCAGGTCGTACGTTAGCGGTCCATGGAATCGAAGGTGCTAATCTAATCTGTCTGGCCGATTAAAGGCCGGCGGTGAGTTCCGTGAGATGGAACACACGAAACGGTCCACCTCTGGTCCACTTGCACGCAATTAACCATCCCTTCCCCCTCCCTTCACCGTCGCTCCATCTCCCTGGTGCCGCCATCTTGAACCGTACCGGGACACTTCTAATTACACCGTGTTGCTTGGTGTCAACCTACCTTTTTTCGTCTGTTTTTCCCTGCAACTGTTCTCCTCTTCTCACCGCGATACCATTTCTACCTTCTTCCTCTTCTTCGTCGTGTTCTTTCTTACGTTCGTTTGGTTTGTGGCACGAGGATTGGTAGGCGTGCGCGTGCACGCCCGCGAGATTTCTGATAAACGAGCCGGCGTCCCTCGTTTCGAGAGGATTTCTTTCGTTCGCAGAAAACGAGGTCGAGCCGTTCGAGGTCGTAGGCGGGGTTAGTGGTTTTTCCCTTTTTTTTTCTCTCTCTCGGCTGCGTGGAACGACGAGGGAAGTTTAACGACCGGGGTACGCGCGCGCGAACGCCTGCTTGGTGATTATTTGTGACTTTGGATACGATGGATGATATTAATTGGTCTCTCTTCTTGTGCAGGAGAAAAATTGATTTGCCAACATAAATCAGGTTTATTGAGTTCTTAGGACTTGCTTAATGATGTAGGTTATGGTGATAGATGGGTGAGCAAGACAAGTTGTATTTGTAATGAAGTTTCTTTTTAATTGTGTTTATTAGAAAAGTTGGAAGACAAGGAGTTAAGGTGTGCCTTTTGTGGTTAATATATCTTAATTGAAGTGTATTACGTTTATTGGTCTATGTAACATGTTTTTGATAGAATATTAGAAATGAAGGGGAAGGATTTTGAAGTAATCTCTGTCCACTAAGTTTTCTGAAAATTGTAGAGATTTTGGGTCTATCATAATCATATTCAATAATCAATATTAAAACATAGTATTCTTTATGAGCTTACACATTGAAGATCACTTGGACTAGACTCATAAATCATCTAAAATATTTCTGAACATTCTATTGTACAGAAACCCAGTAATACTTACACCAACTGCAACACATCAACCTAACCTCAAAATCTTTCCTGCTCATTAACCTCCCAGACAAAGTACCACAAAGGAATAACACAGAAAAACACAGTCTCAGTTGATTTCGATAGGTATTTATTTTCATAATGATGAGTGTTCTTTATAATCGATCTATAATATCATACATCATAGCATTCCGTTTATACATAATTACAATTGTAAATTCTGGTTCGCCCTTACGAGTGTAATTAGTTAGTGGGTTCGTCGTGTGTCGCGAGCTGCCATTTATTTATTCTTTTTTCAATCGTCGCCCCTCAGATCCGTGAAACATGAAAAAATCGTTGGGCACGTACGAAAAAAAAAGAACCTTCGTTTCCGGCCCGTTTTCAACTCGTTTGCTTTTCTATTCGCTGCTCGACGCCATTTTTTAACACACACACACAGATCCTGGCCGTGCCGCGCAACATTTTGTTCGCGCATGCGCAGACTACGAAAATAAGGTATACAATGTATGTACAACCGAGAAAAGAAAGATAAACGTTTTTGTCAAGTCGATCGTCGTTCGAACCTCCTCCAATTGCAAAATCTCTCGAATTAATTTTTCTTCGTTTCCTTTTTTTATTCTATTCCGACGATCGATCGACGATCGACTACGATCGAACGATACCATCGACCGTTCGACACCGTTGTATGTATGTATAAGAAGTAAGTCTCCGCGGCAGTGCCCGCTACTGGCCGCTGGTACAGCGTGTGTTGACGTGTAGGATCCCTAGGAAACAATAAATAAAATCTATCTATTCTCATTTATCTAGCGCGAGACGACGTCCGTCAGCTTTGATTCAGTGGTCGATCGGTGCCTTTGCTAGCCGCGACGATCGCTTCTAACCTCTTTCTTTCTCTCTCTCTTTTTTTCGAATGTTCTCGTTTCTTTAACTTCTCGACATGAATCGACGCGTTCACTGCCTGATTGGGATCGGCGAAAATCACCACAGGATCCGGCTGTGTGAAAATTCCGTTGTGGAAAGTGAACTGAAGTACGCCAAACAGTGACTTTCAGTTGCAACGTATTTATAGGTTATGTTGGTGCATTTGTGTGAAGGTTATATATATATATGTATATTCGTTTGCTTCGAAACAAGTATGAAATGTAAGTACGTACATCGATGTAATGAAAGAATGAGTGAAAACAGAGAGAAGTAAAAAAAAAAATGAGTTTCGAAAAATTCCAATATGGCGTACCCGGCAGTGAGCGCGTCAAAAGTCACGTCCATCCACTTCACACACCAACCTCTCTTTCTCTGTTCGTAGTCCCAGCTCGAATTTTTTCCTGGCTCGGATCGGCTCGCCATTACAAAAAAAACTATCGTCATCTCCGTTTCCAGCGAGTCCTCCCCCCTCCCCCCTTTCCCTCGCGCGTGCTTTATTCGTCGCGTCGAAGTAGCTTAATTGATTAATTAATCGCGATACATCGAAAAAGGTACTATGTTTATATATACAGCAGTAGTAATTGATGTACTGATTAAATAAGTGGCATATTTATACTAAACGTTACGTTTATCACAACGATGATAAAATCAGCCGGAAGACCGAAACGAGGGCGCGTTCGATCTTTCCAAATCGTCGCTCCATCTCTCATTCGTCCCACCTAACCTCTTCTCTCTCTCCTCTCCTCCCCCTCCCATCTGCCGCCTGTTAATAATCACCAGAAATAATGCTCTTTCACAATCGACGACCAGCTTTTACGTCTTTCTCTCTTTCTATCGGTGCTCCGTGACACGCGGACTGGAACGGGAACCTCCAAACGGGAAATTTCGCTTATTCTCCAAATTATTTTTCTCCTTTTCACCTCCACCCTCGCAATTTATACTTTCTCCGTTTCGTGCTCCACTTCGCGAAACTCGACCTACACAACTCGCGCGATTTCGAACGATGGATACACACACAGATCAGACTTCTTTGAGAAAAAAAAAACCCGTGGCCTCTCCTGGTACTACGCGTGCGCATACGTGGTCATGTGGGCCGGACGAATTACCGAGTCGAGGCGAGTGTGGCCGAGTGTTTCCGAATTGACTAGATTGGAGCACCGCGCGCGCATGCGTGTTCGCGAAAACCTAGCTAACGAGAACCGTGGAGATCGCAACGACACGCCAGATGGCGCCACCAGACACCGGCCAACAAGCCCGCCATTTATTCAATTCACACTTGGGCTTCCTGTTCCTCCCGTCCAGCGAGGCGACCACTGAACCGCGCACAGAGATCATCACCCCCAACAACCGCACACGAGTTCACAGTCCCGGATATTGCACGTTTCCGTCGATAAAACCAGACGGTTCCGCTGGCCGTACGCCGATCGAGACCACCGGTAAGTAGAATCGTCGGTGTTTTGGCATCACAGTAGGGGATAATAATCGTGGCCGCAGAACGAGATCGGTCACGAGCCGCTCGTCGACAAAACCGGTAGATCACGATGAGCCTGTGGATCCTTTGAGTGTGCATCTCTGACAGCTCTCGAGCCGAACACCCTGTCACAGCCGGGTATCGTACATCTGGCCTCCTCTTTCCTATCCTCGGATCCAGGCGAAGACAGAGGCGAGCCAGAGCCCGATGGGTGTCTGTTCCCTTGTTCCTGCGACGACATCCTCGTCAAATGATTCAAATGCTGATGAGTGAGTCCGTTCAAACCGGCCAAATGCGACGCGAACGACGACAGCCCGGAGAAGGTCGCGCCGAGATGCGGCGGCAGCAGTAGCGGATGTGGTGGGGGTATTCTAGCCGCCAGATCGACGGCAGATGGCAGTCCAGGCGTTAGCGGATAAGCGCCGATTCCAGCGTCCGCGTACAGTCTGGCGAGGAACTCGTTGGGCAACAGAGGGCTGATCTGAGTGTCCTCGACTCTCGGCGACAGACTCGGCGGCATGCTAGACGACAACGGCGGGCTCGACGATGTGGAGAGTAATTTCCGGTGGAGATTCAGGTTAGCCGAGTGTCGATCTCGCGAACGTTTCGAGGGAAACGCGGCGTTGCAGCCGTCCACGCTGCAACGATGCATCACTTTCAGATGAACGTTCTGGTAGTGCGTCTTGACCCCGAAATGATTTTGAAACACCTTCCCGCAGGCAGTGCAACGTCTCGGATTCTCTCTGTCCAACGGGACCTCCTGCGTGCTGACGAACCCGCCGTTCTCGTAACGGGCGTACGTGATCAAGCTATTGTCCATATCCATGGCCGCTGTGGAGGGTGAGGCGCTGGATGAACGAGAGCCATGTGAGGAATTGTCCATGGTGGTCTCCTGGTGCGTCGTGAGGCTGACGGGGCTGGTAGAGCCGCGGCCACACCTCGAAGCCACCCGCTGCGTCCCGCTGCTGCCGCTGGTGGTGGTGTACCGCTGCATCGCGCGACCCTGCGACAAGGACTCGAGTTGACGCAAAGTGTTGGTGGTCGAGGAGTCGTGGGAGAGGTCGTCGGCTGTCGTCGGACGGCTGTCGACCGAGCTCGGGGCACGGGAGGGATCATCGGGACGAGCGCCGCGTTCACCTCCTCATCATCATCATCATCATCGACCTCCTCCATCGGCTCATCCTCTTCATCCTCCTCCTCCTCCTCCTCCTCATGCTGCTGCTGTTGCTGCTGCTTCTGATTATCCCTCACCTTCTCCACCGTACACGTCTCTGACTCTTTTTTCGTTTTAGGCCCTACCTCCTCGTCTCTCCTCCTCTCGTCGCTATCGCTCTTCCCACCGTCCGCCTGATGATCCATCGAGTTAGCTTCCTTCTGGCTCGACGCAGCGTTGGAAAGAATCTCAGCTTGGTCCGGAGACACCTTTGGCTCGGGACTCACCTGCCTCTTGGGAGATTTCACGCTACTCGCTCGCGAGCTCAGATCACGAGGCTCTTCTTGAGCTACTTCGTCCTGAGAAGAGACCGTGTCTCGTCTGACAGCGTTCACGGTTGCTTCTCTGGCGTCCGGTGAACGCGAACTCGATTCTTGGTCGTTGAAACTTAGGTTCTTGGGAGAGCCAGGGGAGGCCTTTCTCTCTTCAGCTTCTAGTCTAGACATGGACATGTCCTCTGGCTGGCTCTGGAAGTCGTTCACCGAAGCGATCCCTCCTCCGTCCGACAGACAACGTCTCTGCATTCTTTCTTCGTCGTTGGAGGAGTCCCCGTCGGTGGAGGAGGAGTGCACCTCTGTCAGAACGGCGCATCTAGTCGGGTGCTGAGATTTCCTCTTCCTGACGCCTCTGCTGTGCATGGACGTCGAGTTCGTAGAGTGCTGGCTGACAGAGTAGCTCTGCTGATCCACCGTGCCCATAGAATCGTTGTCCTCGTTGCTGTCCGCGTTGCTCACCAGATCGTCGTCCGCTGGCTCGCCGAAGTAGAGCTTGGGTCTCTTCGCCAGGCTGAAGTCAGCCGGTTGCTCGTCGTCTTCCTCGCCCGAGTGCATCGGCAACCTGGACGGTAGGTTACTGGCGTCGTCTTCAGCTACAACCACGATGCCTCCGTCGTCGTCGTCGTCGTCGTCCTCGCCTTCTACGACAGCGGTGGAGGCCTGAGTGGACGGAGAGACGGTGTCGGCTAAGCTGTTGCTGGAGAACGATCCTCTGGCCACTATGTTCACGTTAGGCGTCTCTGAGGCACATGTCATCGCCACGCTAGCTGTGGTCAACGCGGTGGTGGTGGAGATGCAAGCGCTGGCGCTCATTCTCTGCTGAAGAGCCTCGTCGTAGCCAGGTCTGCCTTGGCTCTGGGCAGGCTGCAGGTCCAGGTGCTTGAAGTCCAGCCCACAGAGCGAGGCTGGCGATCTGAGGTCAGGAGGAGGCGTGAGCAACGGGAAGGATCCAAAAGGAAGGTGATTTAGACCGGTGGCTGGGACAGGTAGGCCAACCTGAGGCGGTAGAACC